TAGATAGATAGATAGATAGATAGATAGATAGATAGATAGATAGATAGATAAGTGACTTCTAATGTGATTGGTTTTGGAGGGTGGGCCTAGTGTGTTGAACCTGAGAGTTCCAGGGTGGCCCTGCAGACCAGAACCCCAGCACCTGGGGCCACATGTACCCTACTTGGTTGCACTTTGACAACCCTTGCCATATCAGAACATGCTCAATTGACGCCACTTGATTGATTCCTTTTAAAATTAGTATTATCCTCATTTCATCCAATTGAATTGATTAATTCAGATTGTCACAGGTACTTAGAGAGGCAGATAGATGAAAAGGAATCATCCACTGTGAGTTTTAAATGACATTCAGTCATATGCGCTTTTCACACACAAAAATCAATACTCTCTAAGGACTGGTTGTCAACTAATGTGTCAAGATTCATGACTGGGTCACAGTCTGACTTAAAGCAGGCCATTATATCTGCACTACAACATTCAAATAAACAGTAAAATGTTAAGATGCACATCCTTAAAGACACATCCCCAGCCTGGATACTTGACAGATTATGCCTCTGTTTTGAGCAAAAAAAAAAGAAAGAAAAAAAAAAGGAACCTCCATTCCAGTTCTGGGAAAAGCTGATTCTGTGAACAAGGATATATCTAGATAGACTCTAGCCCTATTCCATCCTTCTGAAACATGTATCTTCTGCATACAGTGACTGGAGTATGATAGCCCTTCTGTTTTACTCATGCAAGAACAGCAGTCTGGAGAGGAGAAGGCTGCTTTATCTATGCAGGCTGTTTACATGAGCATGAAACATGAAAATACAGAGTTTTGCTCAAATGGAGAGCCTGCATAGGTAGAACAGTCTCCCACTCTTCAGAGTGTCCCATGTACAAGATGAAAGCATGGTTGGAGGGAGCAGGACCAGCATGCTCACCTGATTCCATTTGTATGACATGTGTGCATTCATAAAAACTGAATAGGTCTCTAGCTTTAATTTGAACAAGAGTGTGAATACCTTAGCCAGAATCCTGTTGGCTTGCAAGGTTACGGGAGGGCAACTGAGCAAAAAAAGTGAACTTTTTTTCTAGTTATTTTTGGGTGCTGATTATTCCTCTGTTTGCACAGTTGATTACACCAGTTAGTCTTGCAACAAGAAGCCTAGAAATCACACACTCACACCCCTTCCAGAAATCCCTTTTTGATCAAGGGTAATTTGATTGGATTTTGGCCTTTATCGAAAACTGTCACAGCATTATTCTGCTGTGAATAAATGCAGTCTGAACTACCTTCCTTCCTTCCTTCCTTCCTTCCTGCCTTCCTGCCTTCCTGCCTTCCTTCCATGAATAGAAGAATGGATTAATTTATTTATTTATTGACAAACATAACTGGGCTGCTCTAAACCCTCTGATGTTTAAAAAATAAACTAGAAAGAGTGTATTGAGTCTGAACCCTTGCTGGATCTGACACTAAGGACAATTTTTGTGAGATGCAGATGATCAGGTGTGTAGATAAATCCCAGTTTATAACATCAATAGAGATTTAGTTCTAATATCAATACAATTTGGTCTGTCTGTCTGTCTGTCTGTCTGTCTGTCTGTCTGTCTGTCTGTCTGTCTGTCTGTCTGTCTGTCTGTCTGTCTATAAAGTTTTTATCCTGCCTTTCTCCTTAAAAGGAGAGGCAGCTTACATCAACAAAAATATTTAAAAGCTAAAAACAGTAAATATACAAATATTTAACAATAATTAAGCAAGTATAATGTTAAAATGGTAAATAAAATCAGTAATGAAAACCACCTATTTACACTAGAAGCTTCACTGAATTTTAAATTCTAACTGGCTGTTTCACTTGCGTTGGTGCTGTATTTTCCAGTGGGAGATTTTGATCAGAAGGCAGATTTTGCTGATTGTGCTGTTTATAAAAATACCACATTAGATTTTCTGAAATGCGCAATTTATGAAGATATCCCTAAATTCACCAGCTATTTCCTTTTGTGTCATATTAAGTGATCCCTGTTCCCATTTTTACTTGAGGATACATTTTATAGACTGGATAATATCACTAAAACATTACTTTTTTGCCATTGCAAACAATATTGTCCTCAAAGCTCTGTCCTTTGTCCCATTTTCATATCCTCTTCCAACTGTTTAAATTTCTTGTGGATTCCATGTTGTTGATATTCATTCATTCATTCAAAATATTTTTACCCCAACTTTCTCCTTTAAAAAGATCCAGTTTACATCATTAAAAGACAATACTGAAAGCTAAAAACAGTAATATACAAACAGTAAAAAAAGACAGTAACCAAAAAAGCATCACCAAAAATGCATTCAAAGCAGCAAGGCACAACCATCCATTTAAAAACTCAGGCGCCAGTCACTCAGGGAAAGCTTGCCTGCTTGTGGAAGGACCTTAAAGATGGGGAAACAGCCTAGGCTCCTGTGGGAAGGAGTTCCAAAGTCTGGGAGCAGCAACAGAGAAAACCTCTCTTGTGCCCCCACCAAACACACCTGTGAAGGTAGTGGAACAGAGGTAAAGTGCCTTCCTGATGATCTTAACGCTCGAGCAAACACATAAAGGGAGATGCAGTCCTTCAGGTACCTTGGACCCAAGCTGTTCAGGGCTTTATAGGTTAGAACCAACACTTTGAATTCTGCCTGGAAACAGATTGGCAGCCAGTGGAGCTGCTGTAACAGCAGGGGTTATGTGATCCCTGTGACCGGCTTCTTCTAACACTTCTTTTTCTCTTTGAAATAGTACGTCTATGCCCACGCTGTAGTGCTTTGAACGATAGATGAGAGTTTTCGTGCTTTTCAATGCTTGTCCATCTAAAAAGATGCCCTCCACAAAGAGAACTAACCCCCTCCTGATGAGGCTGATGAGGCTGACTGGGATCCTTCTCCAAATTTGTTCATTATGTCTGTTGGAAGAGGGGTTGGACAGTGAAATGTTCAATCCTGTGAGCTCGGCATGCAAAGCATCGTTTTACTACAAGTCCTGGAAAAATAGCCTCTTCATTCTGGTTTCCTAACTTGTCTTGTTCAGAAAAACAGTTTGTGGACAAATGGCTCCCCTGGGCTTTTGCCGCCTCACATGTCATTGTCCAACTGACTTTGTTTTGTTGACATGAGGAAAAAAAATTAATTCCTGAAGTAATTCTTGCACTAAGCTGTCATTATTTAGCATCATTTTAATCAATCACCATAGTAATCTCCTTTTCCTGTCATGTGACTGTTATAGGTGAAGGATTGAATACGTTTCTTCTCAGTATTTCTGATATGTTAGTGGGGAAAAGAATGAAATTTAGGGATGCACTTCCTTAAAATCCCTGAAAACAGATCGCTGTACTATTTTCCTCTGAAGAAGGCCATTCAAGTATATTCTATCCAAAATGTGTTGCGCTGTGTATAAAATAAACCCTTTTAAAAAACATTCTGTTTCTCTTTCTCTTTCACATAGAGTATTTCACTGAGAGACATTTCTCTTTTCTGTGTTATTCACAGCAAAAAGAAGGGCAGTTCAGTGTGCTGCAGCTCGTGGGCATGTTGCGTGGCATAGCAGCTGGCATGCGCTACCTCTCAGATATGAATTATGTCCACCGGGATTTGGCTGCCCGCAATATTCTGGTCAACAGCAACCTGGTTTGCAAAGTTTCTGATTTTGGCTTGTCAAGGTTCTTGGAAGATGATGCCTCAAATCCAACTTACACAGGGGCCTTGGTGAGTTCTTGCTCAGGAAACCGTCTTTCTCATAGCCCTACAGTGGCCAAGGTGCCATTTCCTGTGGGAATTGCGTTGTGTTCTCCCAAGGCCAGGTGTACGAAAATAAACTCCAAATGGCCCACAGATGTCTGCATGAAGAGAAAAGTGGAACAATTTTGTTAGTTTATTCTCAGGCTAAGCAGAATAAATTAACTGGTGGGATCCTGATTTCACTGCATGCAACCAGTCTGAGTGAAACCAGCTAGCTAACTCCATCCTCTCAGCTAAAGCCTGTCTACCTCCCAAAATATGTTACAGAGAAGGTTGAGGGTCCTTTTTTTAAATGTAGGTGCAGTGTAATTTAGGAAAATCCCTGAAAACCATGCAGAGACACCTTCCCTAAGCAGAGCCATACTGCCCATGGAAGGCAGTTGCAAATCACTTTATTTTGATACTGTTTGTCAAAATTCTTGGAAGATTTAGCATATTCCTTGATTACCCTGAAATTTTATGCAACTGTATGTCCTCGATTGACAACTAAATTGGCTCTCAATTTTGTTATTTAGACAAAAACCCAGACATCTGGACAGATGTATTTTGTGTACTGTTCCAGGTACTGGCCAGTAGGTACCCATTTCATTCTAACTTTATTTTGTTTTATTTTATTTCGTTTCATTTTACATCTATGCTGCCTTCCTCCTGGTATAGAGTGCCTCAAGGCTGCTCATGAATGGATTAAAATATATGCAGATAAATACAAAATGGATGAAATCCTGTTGTGCAGCTCTGCATGTGCAATGGCAGTGACATTATCGACAACAGCAAATCACAAGTGATTAAAGACAAATTGCCACTGATCAAAGGTGATTTTGGGGTGCACACCACTCATACATAAGGCAGCAAAGTTTTGTGTACTCTGAAATCACCAGATTAAGCCTTTAATCAGTGGTGATACTCCCCCTGCTAATGACCTCATCACCATTGTACATGCAGAGTTGTGCGACAGGATTTTAGCCAGTAGATTACAAAAAAATTAAAAATCATTGATGTTAAAAATACTGCTAATTTAAAGACAATGTGAAAACACTTCTAGAACCCACTACTAAAACATTAATGTACAGCATTCCACCTTTTTTTCTGTCCAATCCATTTGTTAAAGCCTGCCTGAAAAGGAAGGTTTTTACTTGTCACAAGTGGAGCAGCAGGGAAGTGGCCAACATGGCCTTTCATGAGAGGGCATTCCACATTTTGGAAGTAGCCCCTGAAAAGGAGCTCTCATCAAATATGCCTATGAAGACAGTGGGACTGAGAGAAGGACATCTTCCAAAAAATCTTAAAACCTGGGGCAGCTCATATAGGAGATAAGGCCCTTCAGATGTGAACCTAAGCTGTATAAAGCTTCATAGGTCATCATCAGCATTTTGAGTTCTTCCTGGAAACTAACCAGGGCCAATAAAGGTAAGAGAGGAGCTATGTGCTCCTTATAACCCACCCCAATCTGGATACAGCTGACGTTTCTGAGTGTTCTTCAAAGGTAGTCCCAAATAGAGGGCATTGTAGTAGTCCAGGTGGGCATAATTGAGGCATATATAATAATCATACCTTAAAACTGCAGAGCCGGAAGGGACTCTATTCATCCTCAAGTCCAGCCCCTCAAGGAGGCACAGTGGGGAATCGAACTCCCAACCTCTGGCTCCACAGCCAGATACCTAAACCACTGAGCACTAGAGGGATTCAAAAGAAAGTTAAACAGCCATCTGTCTGATGCACTTTAACTTGGATTTCTGTGTTAAGAAGGAGGTTGGACTCGATGGCCTTATTGGCTCCTCCCAACTCCATTATTCTGTGATGATCAGAGAAAGACTATTCTGTCCTGGTTTAGCCTGAGATGATGAAAAAACAAAAAAAACACTTGCAATGTTGTTTTTTCCCCACAATTCACAGGGGAAAATGTAGGGGTCGTTTAAGACCAGTGAAAGCCCTATCAAGCTGTTCATGTCCTCTTAGAAAGTTAAGGTGACAAGGCTTAACTGTGTCCTCTCCTTTTTGGCCTCTTTTAGGGTGGCAAGATCCCCATTCGCTGGACTGCCCCAGAGGCTATCCAGTATCGCAAATTCACGTCTTCAAGTGATGTCTGGAGCTATGGCATTGTGATGTGGGAGGTCATGTCCTATGGAGAGAGGCCCTATTGGGATATGTCCAACCAGGATGTAAGTTCCCACATGCAACAAACCTCTTTTCCTCTCCCTGTGCTTTAAAGCGCTTAGTTGCTGGCGGAATATACTGTATTCATACATTCTGTTTTGGGCCACAGCCTGATACACCTCTTCATTCATTGCAGGTCATCAATGCTATTGACCAGGACTACCGCTTGCCTCCTCCCCCAGACTGTCCTACCGTCTTACACCTACTGATGCTGGACTGTTGGCAGAAAGAACGAGTCCAGAGACCCAAATTTGAGCAGATTGTCAATGCCCTGGACAAGATGATCCGCAAGCCGTCAGCACTGAAGGCTACAGGCACAGGGAACAGCAGGTGAGATGACACTGTCAGAAGGCACATGGGCTGATAGAGTTTGGTTCTGGTCCACAAGCAGAAGCGGGGGTGGTGGTGAAAGAAAAGTTGGAACCTGGAGAAGATAGAGATGCATGCCCTGTTTCCCCCAAAATAAGACCTAACTTGAAAATAAGCCCTAGTACAATTTTTCAGGATGCTCGTAATATAAGCCCTACCCCGAAAATAAGCCCCAGTTAAGTGAAACCCTGACCTCCACCCTTGTGCAGCAACCAAAAGATGACACAACTGTATTTGAATAAATGTAGATGGTTGTACATGGAAAAAAAAAACATCCCCTGAAAATAAGCCCAATGCGTTTTTTGGGGGGGGAGCAAAAATTAATAATAAGACCCTGTCTTATTTTTGGGGAAACACGGTACAGTATATGCTTCTTAAGAGTTTGGTTCCTCGTCTTGACAAACCCATAGTTCATCAAAGAATTTGGAAGATATATCTTGCATGCATCATCAGCGCATAGAAGCACTCTGCACAGAGTTTGGTTTTCAAAGACTTCGTCCGGTCTAACCATGTTGGTCTAAATCCAGTTGCTGGTTCTCTTTAAATCAGGCTTGTTGAATTGCCATTCAGGTCGTGACTCAATGTGTCTTCTCTGCTTGGGAGTAATATATGGATTTAGGCCATCGGGGTTAGATGGGAGATACAGTCACAGGCATTCATAATTCCATGCCAAGAGGAGAGATTCCAGGAGTACAAGCTTATCTTCATGTTCGCGTGGAGAAAAAGCAAAAACAGTGACAACAACTGAAATATTTTACACAGGTGTAGCACTTTTTTGAGTATGCCTTCTGCAATGTAGGGGTCCTTATACCAAACGTGTCAGAATTCTTCTAAAACTGTCTCCTGAATTTATAACTGAGTTGAGATTGCACTGGGGCCTTCTGACTCATAGCCCACGCACTGTTAGGCACCATGTGACCCTAGCTTTGCCATTGTAATTGTGCCTCATTGCTCATTACTATAGTGATATTTCAGATTTTCCTCTTGTTTAACATTCCAGTAGCACACAGACGATAACATTCCAGTAGCAAAGAGGGATGTATATGGACTGAGGGAGGTATGGCTCTGAGACCAGCCCCCAGAGCCTGAAGAGTGGGCCTGAAATGGCAAAGGAGGGCCTGTCTCTCAGGGTCACGCTGTCTTCTTAGGTTGAGGGTGAGGGAACAGCCCTCTCAGTGGAAGCTGAGAAGGATGGGTTTGCAAACTCCTGTGTCCCTGTCTTCCTTTCCCAGCGTCAGAGAAGCAGCTGCTTGGTGTCAGCAAAGAGGAGGTCCCTGGAGGGGAGACTCAGCCAGGATTAGATGGCCCCAGGACTGAAGAAGGAAACGCATCCTGTTAATATGGAGAGAGTTTCCCATGGGCATCACAACCCTGGGGAGAGGAGGAGAGAGCCCTTGGTGGTGTAGAGATCAGAAAGAGGGCTTTATTTACAGCCCAGTCTTGTCAGGAAGGGGAAAAAATGTGGAGCATGGGAAATTGAATGGGCACCAGCAGGGCTCTTGCAGCTGTGTAGCAAGAAATCACTTCAAGCGTTCAAGGACACTTTGGGTAGACGTGCCCTGGAGAACCGCCATATTACTGCCTATAATTTCCTTTATATCTTCCACTGCTCTTGCCCCAGCATTCTCGGTAGTTGCCATTAATCATACAACTCTTCTCTTTTTCCTAGTGCTCCTTTTAGGTGGTAGTTTTTATTTATTTATTTGTTTCTTTCACAGACCGTCCCAGCATCTGCTGAGCAACTCACCCCCGGATTTCCCTTCACTCACCAGTGCTCATGAGTGGCTGGATGCCATTAAAATGGGTCGCTACAAGGAGAATTTTGACCAAGCCGGCCTAACCACGTTTGATGTCATCTCGCGCATGACTCTAGAGTAAGAACCTATACTCACATTCTGCTGCAGCAAACCTGGCTTTCCAAAGGAGTTGGAACACCTGATTGGAAAGCTCAAGAAGCCATAGGTTCCATATGACACCCATATTCACAAAGTGCGCCTTCATCACACTGTACATATTTTCGGGGAACATATCTAGGAAACATAACATTCAAAGAAGGTCAAAGATGGCAAAGGTTTGGGGTGAAAAGAGACTCACGGGCAGTTCAGTTTTTGCCCTTGTGTCTGTGTTAGTCTATGCAAGCATTTCAGCAAGAAACACAAAACAAAGCAACAGCAAAAAAAAAAAAAGATGTGGTACTTTAAAGACTAACTGCTATATTTTAATATAAGCTTTTGTGGAACATTGCCCACTTCTTCAGACATATGAGTAAAATACAGAGACGACATATCAAAATGTTCACTGAGAGACAGTGGTGTTTGGCTGCGTTTCACACCTTGTAATGATTGATGACCCCTATTTGGTATTCACTTCTTTTGAAGTGAAGTTTTGCAAACAGCAACATGATCAAAGGAAACAACAGATGAACAACATGTAGAAAATAGCAACTTTTCCTTTGAGCCTTCTTCTCAAAAAGTTGGGTCCGGTAGTTGTGAAGGAAAATAATAGTAGATAACAGCATAAATATTACATTTTGGTAATGACTTCATTTACCTTGACTGATATTTAATCTGTTGATATGGGTGTCCAGCATGTGCATATAGAAAAGAGAGAAGCACTGGTAGCTAAGTAATAGGGGGCCAGCCACATTTGTAGGGTGCTGTGGCTGCTTTGTGCTAATTGTTCCAGATTCTAGTCCAGATCCTAAGTCTTTGAGGTAAAAGCTAAGTGGAAGCGATGCTGGGAATTTGGACCCAGAATCCCCTTTCCCCCACCCCCCCCACCACATCTTAATTGCGTGGAACAAGGAATGCACAGTAAAAGTTGCCATTCCCGTTTCTCTTTGGATTTGCTCCATCACTTCTGATTGATTGATTGTGTGTGTGCTGGAGCACTTTACTAAAGAGGTGTGACTGCCTGACTCTCAGTACTCCCCCCGCCCACACCTTTGCAATGGCTGACAGTGTTGCACAGCGTCCAGTCCGAGCTCCACATTTTACTGGGAAGTAACTCACATAGAGATGTAGCTCCTGCCTCTCCCTCTTTCCAGTACTTTGCCTAAAGGTTGCAGCCTAGTGGTCATGCATGGACAGAAAAAGCAGAGCAAAGAGCCTTCCCTCCTTTATTCGCCCTCCCTCTACTCCCTGTCTCTTCACCTTCACCTGGGCGCCTACAGCATCCATCCCACTTTCCTCCCTTGCTGTCCAGAAATCTCCAGCAGATTCAGGTATTTGTATGCTTTTCAGATCCTTGGCTGGATTTGTGATGGTGAGAGTGATGCTGCACATCTGGGGAAATCCCAGGATCCTTGGATTCAGTACAGACATGTCCATCCAGACATGCCCCTTCTTTTCCTGCCTTCCCTTTCCCTTCCCTCCTATAAGCCCGGGCAGTTTTTCCAATGCATTTTGCCCATCTCATAGAAGCAGATGAGAAGGATGGTTTTGCACATCTAGGGAAATCCCAGCCATTCTCCTCTGATTTGCAGGACACCTCCACATCCTTCTTGCCAATTTTGCCTCTTTCTTCAGACCCACCTCTTCCCATGGCCTCAGAGGCACTCGCCACTCTCTAGATCCCATGGAGGAAAAGCTGTTGCTTCCACAGTACCCATGAGGAAGTCCCAGACACCATCTATTTCTCTCACACAATTATTCATTTCTCTCTCTCTCTCTCTCTCTCTCTCTCTCTCTCACACACACACACACACACACACACACACACACACACACACACACGGGGGGGGTGTAGATGAACGAAAACATGCTCCATCGCTCTGTGAGATTTACTTCTAAGTAAAATATGGATCTCGGATTGGGCACCAGGCAATATTGATTGCCATCTCAAGAGGTAAATGCTCTGTTCCTCTGCAAAGTGTTGTGCACCATAAAATTAAAACATAATTGCAGATTGCTAAAAGGAAAAAGGGGACGAGATGGTATGTAAGGAGTACACAGGAGGTGAGAGTGAGGGAAAAATGATATCCTTGATCTGGGATTGTGTAGATGGTGAACGCAATGAAACAGCTTTGGCTCCCAAGCAGCGATGGGTGGCACAGAGGCTGCCAACCTAAGGTGAAATAAATAAGCCCTTTTCTCCACTGGAGTGCCTCCTTCCCTTGACCCTCTTCCTCACCACTCTCTCGCTACTGACACTACTTCTAGAGTACGCAAAAGCAGTCTGTACTTTCCCCTCAGAAAAAGAAGTTGCCAGCTTCCAGAAAGGTAGTCTCTGGCTAGGCATGTTAGGAGCTGCCTCCTCTTCCTCTTTATTTGGGGGCAGAGGGTGCCACTCTGTCACTACCCCAATTTCTACTCTTCAGAGCTATCTTCCACAGAGTGACAGTCCAGCAGAGCTGGAGAACAGGCCTCAGGGAAGGGCCCTGAGATCTGTGGCTGCCATCTTGCTCTGTCCATGGCTTCTCCTGGGGGAGAGTCCAGCTTTGGTCGCCTACCGACCACCACTAGACCACCACCACCACCACATTGCCTTCTCCCAGGCATCTCTTTCTTGAATCTTCCTCTTTTGGCCACAGCATCACTTTCTCCTTTGGCGCCGCAGCGTTGGGCCTTTTCACAGCCCTTTTCTCAGGTGAAGGCATGTTTTATACCGCTTGCACCCGGTGTCAAAACAACTAGTTACAGCTTTGGCTCTGACTAAAGAATAATGAGGTTCTTCAGCCTGCATGACTTAACGATGACCCGAGCCACGTCTTTTCTAGATAATTATTACACGGTAAAATTATTTTGGCCTCACGCTGTTTTTCATCATGGATCAAAAGCACCCTTTGACCTGCTAGTTTGCTGAGGGTTTTTGTTTTTTTTAATTAACTGGTTAATTGCTTATAGTTAAATAAAAGTTGTATACTACCAGGGATCTCATCAGAAGTGCCTTTTTTGAGACACTAAAGGAAATGTGAAATAACAGGTGAGGTCATTTTCGGCTGAGAATTACCTACACGGGGAGAAAGCCGACTTTCGAGCTCTGAGGGCCACATGCTGGCTGAGAAGTTTCTCGGTGTTGTTGTGGAAAAAAAAAAGAGTAACTTTTCTAAGCTCTGGAAACAGGCACAGGGACATTAGTGAGTTTTGCCTACTTACTGGGATTTTTTATTCTCACAGTCATTGTGAACATTCTATGGGAAAAACAACCTCAAATGAAAGTATCCCTAGAGGAAAATCAGTTCTGTCACCATTACAGTTGGGTTTTTTTCCCCCTTGTGTGTTTGGGTGTGGTGGAGCAACACCTTGGGATTGTTAGTTAAATAAAAGTTGTATACTACCAGGGATCTCATCAGAAGTGCCTTTTTTGAGACACTAAAGGAAATGTGAAATAACAGGTGAAGTCATTTTCGGCTGAGAATTACCTACACAGGGAGAAAGCCCACTTTCGAGCTCTGAGGGCCACATGCTGACTGAGAAGTTTCTCAGAATTGTTGTAAAAAAAAAGAGAGTAACTTTTCTAAGCCGCCTAGAGTGGACTTATAGTCCAGAGTCATTTTCGGCTGAGAATTACCTACACAGGGAGAAAGCCCACTTTCGAGCTCTGAGGGCCACATGCTGACTGAGAAGTTTCTCAGAATTGTTGTAAAAAAAAAGAGAGTAACTTTTCTAAGCCGCCTAGAGTGGACTTATAGTCCAGATAGGGAACATTCTATGGGAAAAACAACCTCAAATGAAAGTATCCCTAGAGGAAAATCAGTTCTGTCACCATTACAGTTGGGTTTTTTTCCCCCTTGTGTGTTTGGGTGTGGTGGAGCAACACCTTGGGATTGTTGGAGACAGGTCTTCCTCTGCGTCCTTTTCCCCGATGCTGAACTCGTAGCTGTCGTATCAGAGAACTAAGGGCAACAGAGGTTTCCATATGTGCAGTTCTTTCTGTTCTTTTGCCCCTAAGCAATCCTCACAACTGGGGTTTCTTTGCAGATTATCTTAATAGTATTTATATTTCATAATTGTAGCCTAATGAGAACTGTTGCATCAGAGAATAAGATTCAAGAATAAAACCCTGCAGCTATTCATTTAATTCATCATTCCAGTGATTATGTAAAAAAACATCCCTTCCTATTCTTGCTGGACTTTCTTCTGCCAATCCCATCTCAACCATCTGTGGGTTTTCCTACTGTTCCCCAATTTTATTTTTACTCAGGCATACTTGCCCCACTCAGATCCTGTATTGCTCAATAAATTATTGGACCCACAGTTTCACTCTCCTTAAATTCCAGTTTAGCCAAGAGGACTTCTGAAATTCATTTCATCTTTGAGCAGATGCAGTTTTCTTTTCTTTTCTTTTTAAATAACTTGGGATAGGGTATGGGATACAAAAGGTAAGAGGCAGTTTTCTGTAGTTTTCATGCTTTTCCGACCCTCTCCACCCATCCCATCTTGCACCTGTGTGCATTCCTTGTTGTTGTTTAGTCGTTAAGTCGTGTCCGACTCTTTGTGACCCCATGGGCCAGATCATGCCAGGCCTACCTGTCTTCCACTGCCTCCCAGAGTTGGGTCAAATTCATGTTGATAACTTTGATGACACATTGCATGATGTGCATTGCTAGAACATTGCCAGAAAGAAAGAAAGAAAGAAAGAAAGAAAGAAAGAAAGAAAGAAAGAAAGAAAGAAAGAAAGAAAGAAAGAAAGGTTGATGCAGCCACACATCTCTGCAAACAAACTCTTGTTCACTGGTAAAACACCACATAAAAATAATCTTGATAAAACAGTACAAACAATATCATAAATTGTAGTAGTACTTTATTGTAGCTATTAAGATTTTGCTTTTGCAATATTGTCTTCATGTGATATACTGTACAGTAGTATGCGCACTATAGTAAATATTGAGAGAGAGGAGGATGCTAGTGGAGTCAAACCACTAAATGATGCATCAGGCTTAATAAACTAATTAAAAAAAACCCCAAATCACAAAGCTATAGAGCTCATAATCAGTTCTTCCTCCCGTGAGAATAAGAGCAGGGTAATTTGGAACTCCCAAAATCTAACTAAAAAGTCCAATGACTAAACTTCCCAAAGCATCTCTGTCCTTTGGCCTCCTGGTACTGATGACAGTATAATTTCATTTGTACCTAGGCACTTTTTGCTTCCTTGTAGCACTGCACCGATGTGTTTGTTGTTGCTGTTGCAAATGGATTGTTTCTGGTTATTTCAGGTCTTTTAATCGCAGTTTTAGCTACATTTTCACAATTCTCCCCCACACACCTCTTTGCGTTTTATATTATGTAGTCTCACTTAGTGTAAATTGCTTAGCTGCCCATGAAAAGATATATGAAATGATAATAAGAGGGCAAACTTTAAACAGTGTGGTGCAGTGCCCTTGAAGTACAAGACCTGTGCCAATCATAACTGGAGGGTGCTACAAGTCAACAAATGACTGCTGCATTTTTTTCTGTCCTTTTTTCCCCCCTCTTATCATTTTTTACTTTCCCCCTTGCTGCCCTGGTTCTCATATGCTTGTAAGGGGATCAGGTATCAAAAGCACCAGGTAAGAATATTGATGAGTGCAGAGCATAGGATCCCTATCTAAGCTCCACTTTGCTTTGTCCTTTGCAGAGACATCCAGCGCATTGGTATCAGCCTGGTTGGCCATCAGAAGAAGATCCTCAACAGCATCCAGCTCATGCGGGTTCATCTCAATCAACTTGAACCAGTTGAGGTCTGACACAAAGAGCACACACCATTCCCCCTCACCATTCCCTGGCTGCCAAAGGCCCTGGAGATTTCCCTTTGGATCTTTTGTTGGAAAAAAGGGAAATGAAGAGCAGTAAATTTCCAGCATCTATGGAGGTTGCACAGGATTTTGCATTCCACTTCACAGAGATGAACCTTTGATAATTCAGAGGAGGTTTTTGTTCATTTGTTGCTTCATTTTTAAAAATATATATATACATATATATAAAAAACTTGGAACGCTGCAAACCATGTGGCATTTAGACATGGGTGGAATTGTACATTGGGACTGGGTAGGGATTTAGTACACAGGGTAGAGCTGGAAAGATAGCTGTGGAGTTGGAAACGCACCTGCTGCCACTACTGCAGCAATGGATGGGTTCAGGCCCACTAGAGATGTGTCAGCGGATTGTACTTTGGACCGATAAGGTCTCAAAACTTTCTGAAGTTGGTAAAATTGGACTAAAGCTGAACAAAGACTGTATTGCCAGCTCCCCAAAAGGAATCCCTTGGAAGCTCCTGTCCAACAAGTGGAATTTACTTCTGAGAAGAGCACCGAGTGCCACCATTTTCTTTCAGGCAATTCTGGCAGAGGAAGCCATTTGGAGAAAGAAGATGGCATGGATGTTGTCTCAGGAAATGAAATTTGGATATAGCTCCGAGGGGCAAAATGGGAGGCAGCCAGACCTGTGAGGACACAACAGAACCCACTGGGCCGTTCTCCAGCTCATTTGAGTGGTGCTCGCACCTGTTAACTTTGTGGTGATTTGGGTCCCATTTTAATTAGTGAATGGGGCCGGCGGGCATTTTGTTTGCTTATTCAGATTCAGACACCATTTTGAGCCAGCCATGGCTGTTAGGTTTATACCTAGTTTCCTGATGAGGAAACCAAGATGGCAACGTCCTGCTTGTCAGGTAATGCCCATGGAGGTGTGCCTGACCAGGGAACAGAGGGGCCTTTTGGGGCGGGGGAGTTTCCAACTGGATATTCAGACTACAGGAAGTGAAATAAAACATTTGACCGAGAGAGAGAGATACTTGTGCACAAAGCTTTATTAGAAGGGGAAGGAGGTGACACTGAGCTCTTATTCAGGCCAGGTTTTTAAAGTATAGAATCATTTCAGATCTGGTGCTGAGGGAAGATCCTGACAGAACACGATCGGTGTTGCTGTGCAAGAATAATTTATGAAGCAGGTTGGGGAGGTGGTTCACCCCGAAAGTGTGCTCTTGGGAATCACCAGAAACAATATTTCCCTGGGATTAATGACACTGTTTTAGGAAAGTGCCTAAGTAGTGGTGTGCCTAAGTAATGACTGTGCAACAGAGTGTCCTTTCTCATGACCTGTGTAAAAAGTGGCTTCAGAATCTGGCGAAGTCAATGTTCCGCTAACCATTCAAGCTTTAAAGTTGTGAACATCCAAATTCCATTTTTCGGATATGCGCTAAAGAATACTGACTGTAGGTAGCATGTCAGCATTCATTTGTGTATCTCTTGAATTTTCAGATTCTTTTTATACAGTTACCTGCTTCTGTAAACATTCACACATAGACAAAACTTGATGCCTTTCTTATCAAATGCATTGTTCAGGTAATATGGATAGTGCAACCTGCATTTTGTATCAGGCTGTTACTGGGAAAAGTTCAAACTGGATTATTTTTGAATGGCATTAGATTTGTTCTTACTGTCTTTACAACACAAAAGTTGTAAGGGATGGGGGGAGAGGTACAGCATTGGACCAACAGTTTCAGCTTTGCCAATATATTTGCTAAAACACAGGGAAACGTTTATAAAGGTTGAATAGAGCCAAGATTCAGTGGAGTTCGCAAATGCTGGTCCTAAAAACCTTTGCTACCTCTGAGGGAATGCTGCAGTAAAAGTGCTTCCTTCTTTGTTTGTAATTTCTGCCATTTTGTAGATGGAGGCCACAGTCTAATATCAAGCCAGGTTTGCTTAAGTCCACTGTGTGCACATGATTTCTAGTGCTAGGCAGTGCAGCTATCAAGCACAAACCACTGAAGAACATGGATGACCCACAATATTAAGGGAGGACGGGGAAAACAGATAGCCGTATGTGTTAAAAATCTGTATAAAACCCCAGTGGCACAGACACAGCCTGTGTTTTTCTTCCCTATTTTGAATCATTAACTCAAAAATTACTATTTGGGGCAAACAGTGGTCACTTCCCATAAAAATCCTTTCAAGGCAGCATAAAATATTACTGATGGAATATAGAGCTCAAACAGTTGGTGTCATCATTAGGGATTCAGAAGTGTGCTAAACTTCCATTATGCTTTCATTCAGTGTTCCTAGAAGGAATGCCTGTAAGGGACCACCACCATTTACATATGAAGTAGTCTTCAGAAAATGTGGACGTTTGTTCCTTTCATGGCTAAGCCAAAAGCACCTTGACTGACTTCACGAACATGCCCCATTTAAATATGGCTCGATATTGCAGGGATTGCCAGATAGCCGTACTGCTCCTTCCCAGTGCCAGCCATAACATCTCCTGTAGCCCTACCACATGATGTGAGAGACCCACAGAAGCAATGCTTTGATGACAGTCACAAACAGTGGTTGTTACTGGAGCCTGAACAAACCATTTGTGCTGCGCAAGGCAGCTTGCTCTTGTACTTTCAGATACCTCGAGTCTAGGTATCAGTGCCATGTTAGAAGGAGTGTGTGCATGTGTGCACACACGGTCAAGTCAATTCCAACTTACGGTGACTCTTTTCAGGGTTTTCTAAGTAAAAAATACTCGGAAGTGATTGGCCATTTCCTTCTTCTCGGGGTGTCCTGGGACAGTGCAGCTTGCCCAAGGCTACACAGATTGGCTGTCCTTACAGGAAGAACACTGGGGAATCAAACTCACAAACTCTGGTTTTGCAGCCAGATACTGAAACAACTGAGCTATCCATCTTTGAATGAGTACTGTATGAGAAATTTCTCCCACTTTTTTTTAAAGTCAATTTGATGGGGGGAAAGTCTTTGAAATTTAAATTTAAGGTGGAGTAAGGATGTAATAAGACAACGTCCTGTCACAGGGCTTTTTCCCCATCAAGGAAGTCTGGGAAGCCAGGGAGCTGCACAGTGGTAGAGAGAGAAAACAAATAAGCAAATTCAGCAACCAGCCCACCTTTGCAGTACAGACGTCCACTCAAAAATATTGTCAGAAGACATTCTCCCTTCCCCTGAGAATGAAGAGGTAGAATAGAAGGTGCTTTCATAGGGAAGCAAAACATTTAAGAACCTAAGGCACAGCATTTAGGCCCTGGAAGGAGAGAACAGATGGCCAGCTTACCAAATTACATGATAATAATCCGTGATCACTTGCATTCACACAGAACATTGCCAGAGAGTTGATGGAGCTACATGGCAAGTTCATAGTCTGCCTCGAACCCTTCCTTTTATAAAGACAGAATAAAATCTGCACAAGTTTACTTTCTTTGCAGGGGAAATGGAAAAGTGATCCCACAAAAACACAGGCCCAAATCTTGTTGCATAAATTTTGCCTGCATAAGGGTGATGATGCTACAAGTGGGGAAAATGTTTGCTAATTAGAGTTTTTTGTTCCACCCTTGGCGTCCCATGGCTCACATGCAATGAGACTGATTAGACACAAGTCAGAAAAGCCATGGGACAGAAATAAGAACTCATTACCTATTGTTGGCGGTGATGTCGGCATACACAGGTGTAATTTATGTAACAGGATTTGGCCAGTATGTACTGCAGTACAACCCCCTCTTATCCACAGGATCAGTATCCACTGATTCACTTATCCACGGTCTGAAAATATTGAAAATATTAAAAGGGAAAAAAAAGAAAACATTTTCACATGTACTTCTAGATACAACCACTAGAGGGAGCCAGATACTGTGCTATGAATACTTGTTAGTGAAGAATACATAGCATAGTCTCTGACACCCTCTAGTGGCCAGTTCTGGTAATGCATGTGAAAATATTTTTCCCTCTTTTCCTTTTTCCTTCAACTCTATTCAGGCACTAACAGTGACTAGAATAAACCCATAAGAAAAGGGCATCTCTTATGTGGAGAGTGTATCTGTGAACAGGAGAGTTTTCTCTGTTAGAAGGTACCCCATGTAGTCTAGAAGGCTGGAGGTTCAGCTTTCCAAATTGCTTGGACAGCCTCCATCCGGGTCTTCACATGAACACAAGGAGGAGCAGGGACCACATGTGTTCCTTCCTTGATTCTTCATTTTAGCCGAATTCTGTAATGCCTGGATAGGGCTAGTATACTTTGAGCATCTCTCACACACAGTTTCAGATACAAAGGTATAAACCACCTCAGTTGCTGGATGCAGGTTTGTCTAATTCTCCAAAAGTGGATGAAACTGAGGTACTGCCATTTAGCAATGTGCTTTGAAAAACAGCCTTTAGGGCATGGGTGGCTTCCACCGTATATGGAAAAGTACATAGGAAATTGTGTGTATATGCCTGCATTCTTAGATCGTATCCAGCTTATATGGAGGGGGTCACACAGAGTTTCTACACAGAAGAAGCTTTCCTCTTCAGAAAATCACTGTTCACATAAGGTGGACCTGATAGGTTTTCTCTACCAAGATACAGTAGTACCTGCCCACTCAGATCACCCCTCTTATCAGCCATCTGTCCAGCAGGAAAATAAGGAGAATGTAATGCTAGTCTCCTCAGTGACACCTTCGAAATGATGTGATAGGCTGAAAAGTGAATATCAACAGTTGCCAGTTACATTTTTTTACCACAGAGAATGGCATTCCGGTGACATCAAGATTTGATCCAGTGGGGGGAAAAATGGTGGCCAGCACATTTTTAAATGAAATGTTAAAATTTGAATATGTCATCTACAGCTCACCAAGCTGTTTCCACACACAGACCCAACTTTTTAAATATATATTTCACAAGCAGCTTTGAAGAAAAAAATTAAATAACAGATCCGTGAACACAGGGCCAAAGTTCCTCAGGATTCTATACTTAACCCAGGACTGGGTTAACAGATTAACAACTTGAACAACAACAGCAAGGGACACAGTTAACAGTTTACACATAAAACAACAGAAATGAGCTGTCAACTGTCTAACATTACCCTGTGACATCAAAAACAAACAAGAAATTAAGGATCTGGAAACCAAAGCTCAAATTCCAAAGCAAAAGTGCAATCAAACAAAAGAATGATCTTTTATCACAGCAGCACTCAGAAGGATCCTTGGTATGGTAGTTACAGAATTATTCCAACTTCATTCTATCACCCAGACTCTTCATAAAACAGCAGGCAATGACACTTAAAATGCACACAGTTGATTTGCAATTGTAAACAAGCGACAGTCAGGTTTTCTTAGAACAGTAGCAATGCAGGGTCTATGCTAGCAACCCCACAGTCCTTCTTATCCCCACAGTAAACTAAAACGTGTGATGTCAACATCATTACATTGCACATTTCCCTGCCCTGTGCACAACTGAGAGCGGGAGAGAGGTGTACGTGAGACCCCACATACACACTCGGACCATAGTTTCCTACTCCAAAGACCCCATCCAAAGAGCTGGTCTCTGCGTAAGAGAGAACACAGACTGGGAAGGAGCAAGAGACAAAGAGGGTGGAGGGAGGAAAAGCACGATACGAGAAAACACCCACCCACATAAGAGATAAATAACATCGCACATTAGAAATCATTTCCTTCCTATTTAGCTCAGCTTGGCAGTGCAACACATGTTCCAAGAAAGCTTTGGTAGGTCCTTCGCTTAAAAAGGTTCTAAGAGTTTTGTGGAGTGGAACGAAATGATGCTCATGCAATCACCAACTGCGAGAATGGACGCCATGTGGCCAGGAAGAGTCCAGAAAGCCCACACCTGCGTGCTACTGGCATCAGATTAATGAAATGTGTTCCAGTCTGGGCTTCAAACCACCAAGAGTTCCATGATCATCCTCACTGCTGGAGACGTTAAGTCGGTGTGTTCTGCAGGCTTGGAGGCCACGGTTCCAGCGCTCACACATGGTAGACCTCTTCCTCTTCCATGGCATGATTGGTGTGTCCCTGCCGTAGTGTGTTGCGCCTTACAATATCCCAGCCAGAACGAGAGCTGCTCCGAGATAAATTTGGTGTGCCGGAAGGAGTGGCAAAGGGCAGCTGCTTCTCTGAGTGAAACAGCCTGCAATCTTCTGCCCCCCGTGCTGGCTTCCTCTTCAAGTACTTTTCAAAGCCCTCTCTTCGATGGGATCCATATTTTTTAGCACCCAGCTGGTTCTTTTGCTGCCAGCCTTCACACCGATGTTCAACCCTGCAGGTAAAGTGTTAACAGAAGAAAATCAAGAATGTTGTTTACAATCTCTTTTGCCTTCAACCTGAAGGCAAAAGAGGAATTTAATTGCTCTGGGAATCAACATGACTGCTACCCGTAGTACTGAAATGTCTAAAAAATGTGAGGCATGATTTATAGGCGGCGGGTGGGTGGGCGAAACAATGGTATAATGTTGCATTTACACAAGTATCCTGTGAGGTCTAAAAGTATAAATATTCTGAAATTTGCTGCTGAAGATACATTATACATCAATGTGAAAGCTCATTTCCTGCTGAGCTACTGGGTAAAACATTCCCTTCAGATTTTTGTATTCTCTCTCTCTCTCTCTCAAAAAACAAAAAGGACTAGAGAAGTAAACTTCTGTTCAAATGGGAGTTGACAATTCAGGGAAGTTGAATGGGGGAAAGTGGGCAAAAGGGACCTAGATCTCTCCCCTTCTGTGACTTTCATTTAACCATTTAATTCACTACTTTATAAAGCATGATTTGGCTAAAAACAGGGGAGTCAAGAGATCAGGGCAGAAGGATTTTAACATTCTGGCATAATGTGAACACTGGACCAAATGCATTCCCCAAAGGGTGGCAACACCCCAACGTTTGTCTGGATTCAAAGTGAGGAAGTGCGGTGGGAAGTCCTCTGCTCCCTGCATTTCCCACCACAGGAGCAGGGAAGAGCAGGCAATCAGCTATGACTGATTCCCTCTCCGTCACCTGGCACTTATACTGCACCACACAGAACATTTCACCTGTGGGGCTCATATGCACCAGTCTCGCTGAACGCTAAGCGGGCAGAAATTAATTATGCATGTGATCAAGAGCCCACGCAGGCAATCAAGAATACAATGCAGGTGAATGCATACACTGTATGGTGCAGGCTGTTTCGCAAACAGCATGAGGCAGGAAACTGCTAAATTGCTGGCAGGTTAATGTATTTCCTCTAACACCACAGGGGTGGCAAAGCATCAAGCGGTCACCAAGAGCAGATTCACTGGTACAAACTGCAGAAAACCCCTGGCAACGAAGAATTGTCAATGGACAATGCCTTAGCCGCAAAGAGCCCCGGCCCCAGCCGACACTGTGTGCTGCACGGCTGCACAGGCACAGCCGGAGCTGTGAGACACGGCGTACACCCCCCCCACGCTCCGCTCTTCGGGGGCAAGGGAGTTGCCGAAACCACTGGTTTTCCAGCACACATTTGCATCGCTTCAGTGCCATGCCAAGCTGGCAGAAACGGCATGTTTCAAATAAGCCGCACTAAGGGTTTTTTTTTTAATTGAGGGCTATCTGAAAACAGGTGTGAAACGGCCTGTTTCATGTGTCCTGCTTTAATGCAAATCCTCCTATCAAAACAGGATTTGGAGCAGAACGGTTGGTGTTCAATTCTCAGCAGCTTCATCGGCTTGCCATGTGGGGAGGAAGGGGCTTTGGGACCTTCTTCCCTCCCCCACCCCGACAATAACAACGTGGCTGGGAATTCTTGTTGTTCTTGACTGAGGGGGTAGCTACAGGGGCTCCGTTTCTGCCACATATTGAGCCTCAACCTTGTGCTGTCCGTAGCTGGGAAGCCTCCCAACACTGGCCAGCCCAGATGGAAGCCCTGGTGCAGTTTAGAAATGTCTCATGTGTGTTTGTGTGTGTGCTTTTTAAAACCACACTAGGAACTGCATCCTGCAAAACAACCCAAATCACTGCAAAATGACATTGGCTCTTCTTGAAGGTGTAGTTACAGACATTTCCCTCCTTTCTTCCGATCTCCTGTTTCTTTCTTTTTATTTTATTTTTACTCATACTTTCAATTAATGTTATTGGTTGTGGAAACCTTATGACGGTTGCCAGTGTTTCACCTCGACACTTCTCATCATTTTGGGAACGAATCACATGGTTTTCCAAGAGCCAATTTGATAAAGGAGGCCAAGGCTTTTCAGATCAAGTAAGAAAAAAATAAAGGCACAGAGCGCCAAGCAACAGCCAGTGAAACAAACAAACAAACACAAGGAACACGAGCACAGCATCCCCCCCATATCCCTCAAGGATAGATAAGGGGTAGTCATATCCTGGGGGATAGGAATATCAATATCGGCACCACATTACCCTCCCCTCCCGAACCACTCCAGTGATTAGGTGGGATGACAGGCCTCCCCGCTCTGCTGCCGAGTGGTCAACAGCGTGGGGAGGCGCCAGATAAGCTGCTTCCCGGATTGGCACCACAGAGACGATGCTGGCCATGCACGCTGCATGGCGAATGGTAAGTAAACCTGCTGGTTTGGGTGGGAGGGTCCGGTTTTGTCAGGCACCTCTAGTGCCAATATACGTATTTGGATCCCCCAGGATATGAATATGAATATCCCATGTCTAATCAGGGATCGTGCACTAGATGTCATTATTGCATGATGTTCTGCCAACCAGATTTATTTGGGAGTGTGGAAGAGTGTTGAATGTGCTACTCTCTGAACCAACACCTGTCACGAGTGAGCTTTCCATGCCAATCTACTTTTTCCCTAATTTATTTATTTATCATTTATTTATTTATTAGATTTGTATACCGCCCCATGTGTAAACAATTTGGAAAGGAGCCCCCTTCCTCATATAAAGTTGAGCCATTGTTTCATCTTGCATCTCTGGAAATGCCTTTGTTACCCAAGAGTGTCATTCCTCTCCCTCCCTCCCCCTCTCTCTTTTTTTTTAGTTCATGGCTGGGTACACATCAGAGTGTAGCCCTGATCTCCACCCACCCACCATTTCTATACAACAAAATGTATGTGGAACTTAGATGCATCTTAAGATGAAGATGATTGCAAGTGCTCTTCCAACAACAACAACCATAAACAAATAAATGAAAGAAGGCAGGGGATCCCCTTCTGTTACAGTTTTATCATAAAGATGACTTGGGGCTGGCAGTGGGGAAAAGAGGAGGGCAGGGGACAATTTGACCAAAGGAAGGAAGGCAGGCAAAAGAAGTGCTGAGACAGACACTGAGAACCACAACTGGGTCGGCAGGAGGAAACGGGAAGACGAGGCTTTGCAGAGCCATAGGACAGCTGACGGAACAGCTTATAAGGCAGACTGGTGGGGCAAGATAAGGAGGAAGGTCCTGGAGAAGGGGTAAATCTGAAATGAAAAGTAGATCTTGACTGTATTAGTGGATTAGGTTCCACTAACACTTGGGAGACGATCCAAAAAGGCCTCCGATCTCTTCCAGCCTTGTAGACACCATTCCAAGGGTGGATTCCAACACAGACAAAGAGGCCATAAGGCAAAGATGCATCCTAGTTCTACAGTCTGGTGTTTTGTTTTGTTTTTAAACTGGAGAATTATATATGCAAAGTATCTGGTCTACTGAATGTCTTAATATTGCTACTGAATCCATGGGATCACACCAGTAACACCTGAAATTTCATATTGCCTGCTTCACCTCTATCACCTGGGAATTTCCCACATCCATTTCGATGGCTATATTTCCGAACCTACAAGTACACGGATAACAAAAGTGGATGACTGCAGGCCCCTGTCGAATGCATGCTCAGCCTTAATGCCAAGCTATTTGCTGCGCAATAGGCCCAATGGACTCAGGAGAAAAGGTGAACAGATAAAGATCAACCCCAAAAACTTCTGCAGGCATAAAAAGCAAAAAAATATATATATATTGGAATGAAAATAATTAAAGTCAGCTTGCTGTACAGGAATTTCCATTCCTCCAAAGCTAATTCTTAAGAGAAACATTTTAATATTGCTTAAAGCATAATGGTATTCGGTAGCTAATGCTATAATCCAAGCTTGCAAAACTACAGCTATTACCATTTAATGTTTACATGAGATCCTAATTCTACCAAAGTATTAACTTTCATTATTCATGGAATTTTCCACACTCATAAAGGAGATTTTTACTGTTTTGGAAAGTTCAGTCAAAATATGCCAAACCATTCTATAAACTGTAGCTAAAAGTCTTCCATTTCCCACCTGCTGTGGTAGAAAGATATTATCCTGCATCTTGGAAAGAACTGCAGGGATCGCTGAGGTCTGAAACTTGGCACAGCCACCAGCGGCCTATGAAACCTGATGTGCCAAAGCTGTTAATTTTAATAACACGCAAAGGTTAAGAGTGTATCAGATGTGCATAAAATGTACAAGAGGGAACTCAAAGCCAACACAGATTATGTAGGGAGAACTCAGCTTCATTGCCAAAAGTCAATCATTAACTTTCACACAACGAATTGAAACCTAAATGTAAAATCCCAAAACAACAAACCCCTGAAAAGCCCAATACAAGCACCCTAGTTTTAAAACATTTGGAGCTTTTTAGTTGCTGCAGCACAAGGCTAGACTCCCGCAAAGCATGTCTCTAGGGGTTGTAACAGGAGTTGCTAACAAATGTTATCTAAAGCCACATTATGAAACGGCTCTGGATGCTCAGGCTGAAACAAAACCATCTTTTCACGGTAGGAGATCCATAACCATTGCTACAGTGGTATGCCAAACCTACCTGAGATACCACCGGTCACCGAGCCCGTACTCCTGGCCATAGATCCCAGAACGAGGCCAGAGGCATCGTGGGAGTTTGCGCTCTAGCATTACTGTAGTGGCAACAACCTGAAACATAAGTTTGAAAGAGAAGAGCTGTCAAAATCCCTTCAACAGAAGGAGAGAAAAGATCATCGGACCTCCAGTGTTGATCTGGCTGGGATCAAACACCCAGTGGTTTCATCCCTGTTTATTGCAAATAGATCCACATTTGGGGTGTGTGTGTGCGCGCACACACGTGTGTGTGTGTGTGTGTGTGTGTGTGTGTGTGTGTGTGTGCATGCACATGTGTGTTCTTGCAAGCTGCCTTCAGGGGTTTCCAAGTCAAAGGGGTAGGTAGAAATACTACAGGCAGACAGGTAGCCAGACAGGCAGAGATGGGATGCAAAATTTCTACCCCAAGAACATTTATTGGTTTTTAAAATCACTTAAAATAAAAATAAAAGGAGAGCAACAAGAAGAGTAAGGAGAAAGTGTATAAGCACCACATATAACCCTCCCAGAAACATGTTAATAAATATTTTGAACATGCTGCTCATCCATACTGCTGCACAAGGTTGAAAAAAATTGCACATTTTGTTACTATTTAATTCATTTCTCCAAACACATGTTCAGTAGTTTCCCCACTCCCTATATGAATTTCTCTAATAAAACCCCAGATTTAATTTTAATTGCAAACATTCTAACCAAACAAATTGAGTAAGAATTTAGCGTTGCTTTCAGAACAATAAATGTACAATCCAGAACAGCTGTTGTCCCAATCTATTGTTGGCTCTGGAGGCCATGCAACCTTTAATCGTAATCCCACAAGAACGGTGGGTCTGTTGTTCCTTAAGCAAGGAAGGGCTCCTTTTGGGTGATTATCAATGCATCACTTTGCCAGCTGGACAGTGGCACTTTGTTTCCAGGAGTTCATCTTTGCTAACAAACAACCTGAACTAGCTTTCAGTATAAGGAAGTGGACATAACAACAGCTCATAGGGTTCAGGGACTTCTCATCTTCCCCTCTCTGTCTCATAGACATCAAAGGTGAGCAAATGTGACCCTTCTGATGCTTTTGGCTTGCAACTCCCATCACCATGGGAACTGTCATATCCAGAATGTCACATTTGCCCATGCCTATCGTATGTCATCAATCAACAAGACCAAACCAGACTCACTCACCTGTGCTCTCCAAAGCTCATCTCGCTCATGGGCCACACGCCAGTGGGTATCACCCATCATGGCAATAAGTAGATTGAGCATAAGGAGGGTGGCAATGACAGCGAAGGCAGAGTAGGTGATCCCATACATGAAAGGCAAGTCCACTTCATAGTTGGCTGGTCCATCAATGATGGTGAGGAAGAGCTCAAAAGTGCTGAACAGAGCCATTGGATAGTTATAAAAGTGACCCAACTCATCAGGGTCTTCTGTTTGGAAGATGATATAAAAAGCTGGAAAACAAAACAAAAAAATCAATCAATAAATCAAACAATGAAATAGAGTGAGGTATCAATTTGTTATTCATTGTTGTGGAACATTTGTTTTGTGTAAAGGGAACCTTCAATTCAAGACCATAAGTAGATATTTGACCATTCTGGGCGATATTACATAGCTACATTTCTCATTATTCCCCTCAATTCCCACTTAGGCATAGAAGTCCCTCAGGAAGACACACTCGAGCAAGCCTTCTTGTGTTAAAACATCTTCCCCAAACTCACCTTTTCTGCGAAGCTTTTGGCCGAATCCCTTGCAACCTAAATCTATGGATGGATATTGATTAAAAGTGATGCCCACTGATTTCAGTAGACATCTTTTATTTTCTTGATTGTAATGGGAGGGAAGGAAGAAGAGGGAAGCTGCCAAGAAGAAAAAAAGCTAAGCATTGTGAGCATTTAGAGAACAACACAGTGATCGGTAAGATTCTGCACAGGTTTCTCAAAAACACATGTTAGACTAATCTGACCTCATTTTTAAAAATAGAGTTATAGATTGGGCCGATTATGGGAATGTTGTGGATTTAGTAAATCTTGACTTCAGCAAGGGTTCTGACAAAGATCCTCATGATATTCTTGTGGCTAAGTTAGTGAAGTGTAGTTGGTGAAAAGATTACAAGGTACTCATGGATGCAATTGTACCTGTTTGACAAACCATAGCCAAAGAGTGCTAATCAATAATTTCCAGGCATCCTGGAGAGAAGGGATAAGAGAGATTTAAGAAGGAAAGCAACAAACTTTAATGACCACCAAGAGGAGAGAAAGTTTGAAAATTAAGCCCTGTGAAGAATAGTTGAGAGGAACTGGGTATTCAATGCTGAAAAAGGGAAGGTTGAGGAGGCTGGGTAACATGACTGCCATTTTCAAATATCTGAATGACTGTTTTCTGGAAGATGGAGTCAGCTGCTTTTTCTATCGCTCCAGAAAGTAGGCTCCTGAAGCAATGGAGTCAAATTACATGAGAGGAGATGCCAACCCAATCTCCTGACAGGAAAAAGATGCCTGAGAATCGAACAGGCAATCACAGTGAGGGACTCGTCTTCTTTGGTGGGTTTTAAAACAGAGGTTGGAAGGCCACCTTGTCAGGGATGGTTTGACTGTAGATTTCCTGCTTCAGCCGGAAGTTGGATTCATGATCCTTGAGGGGCCCTTTCAGCTTGTACAATTCTATGATTTTAAAGGAAGATCAAGAACGGTTCATCTGTGGGTGGTTTCTGTCTCTGCCCAGCAGTCCTCCAAATTCTTCGTAGACGGAACTCTCATATTGTGCGGCTACTTGCTTGAGTTGTATATGCCGTGTCAAACTAGATCCTTGCCCTAAGGATCAAGGTTGCGGTTTTTGCCCTTAAAGAAAAATGACACTTCAACCTGTTCATATTCATTCCTTTATTTCGTCCCCTCCCTTTGCAGGAGTTTAGATCCTGAGCTCCTTGAAACTGCGACCTGGTGGTTTTTGTTTTGCTTTGCTTCTTGCCTCGTTATTTGTTTTCAAATATGCAGCTCTGCAAAGCACGACACACACTGATGACACTGTATAAATAATAGCGGCAGAGAACCTTGGCAGAATTTCAAAAACATTTTGTACTCCTCTCGGTGATTTGTTATGCTAGGATGACAGAGACAAGATGGCCAAAACATCACAGCCAGATGCTATCAGAAATCAAGAGCAGCAGCTATGTCAGTCGACTGCAGTAAAAACAGAAGAAAACTGGCCTGTAGCAGCTGAAAGGCCAAAACGGCCAGTGTGGCATATTGCTTTCAAGGATCAGGGGCCAGTTTGTCCGATCTTTAAAACTGTCAGCTGTATGGGGGCTTATATCCCAGAGAGAGAGAGATAGAGAGAGAGAGAGAGAGAGGAGGAGGAGGAGGAGGAGGAGGAAAAACTTGTTGTTTTACGAAAGTCAAGCAACGGCAAAGGAGGGGGTAACAGGTGTGTTGTGTGTTTGTGAAGAGCACCCATGAATTTATTGGCAAACAGCATGCCAGAATGCAGATTCCAGCTGAAGAATCCAACGTAGAATCCCATAAGATGAACTCAACCAAATGATGACTCAAACCAGTATTCAAGGCACAGCTGCATCGCCTGATAGAGGGACCCTGGTGTCGTTTCTGAGGGCAGGGGAGCTAATTTTGCCTACTTCTGTGTGTGTTTTTATATTTGCTGCCAGGGTAGGGTTGCCATCGCTCAGAGTGGCTGCTCTTCAGGGAATTGTTATCCTTTATGTGGGGGGCCCCAAGCTGGGAGGGTGCAGCTCTCAGACAAGAGGTGTTTGTGAGGAGAAAGATTGTTTTTATCAATAAGGAGCACTGAATGTACATGTAGGGGCCCTTGAGCACTCATTCAGAACTGGCAGCAGGGCTCACTAGCTCAATCCGAAGGTGTGTGTATGTGTGGCATGTTTCCTTCCCTCCCAGTCCTTCCCTGCTGCCCCATCTCTGTGAAATAACATGGGGCCATCCTCCATGACATCACAAGGGCCTCCCTCCCTCTGTTCGAAGGTTTCGGATCTGAAATCTCAGGAGCCAGGATGCTGCCCATCTGGGTGCGTACGAGGCCTGTGTGTTGCAAAGAGGTTGCGCTGTCCCTGTAACTGTGATGCAGAACAAGTGAAACAAAAGCAAAATAAAGAATTTTATTTATTTTTTTTCCCCAGAGATGCAAGGGCTTTTTCAGAACCCCTTCATACAGAAAGTCAGCTGCTTTCATCTCACAAGCTCAGGTGCATCCGAGTCATCAGTGTTAAGTCTAAAACACTGTCAGAAGCTAGTCCCAGAACACAAACAAAATTACAGAAAAAAGAACATGCTACTTGCTTAAGGAAGACTCTCGGGTCATGGGCCAGAATCCTATGCATCACTTACGTTGGCATAAGTGCTTAACTTGTAGCTGTGAATTGCCACCAGTTAAGAGGCAGACATTTTCCCCCTTGCTGTACACCAGGTCCCATGACAGGTGTGTGAAGAGGAATACAAGGAGTGGCTTCTTAACTAGCAGCAATTCATAGCTGCAGTTTACATTATTACACCAAAACTAGAATAAATAACCAGCAGGATTCTGGGGCTCCAGAACACAGATTTAAAATGGATGCCAAATGGAGGAGGTCACCTAGTCCTTACTCCCGGTCAGTCTCAACTACAATTTTCATTACTAATGGGTTTGGAGGGAAAGTTCCATCCTATGGGGAGTGGAAGGCGGGACATCAGGAGGAGGGGCTGTACTGTATATATATGTGAAGCGTGTGTGAAGAAGAAGGAGAGCCGGAGGAGAGCTGAGAGAAGAAGCTTGAGTGGGAGTCTGTGTGTCAGACAGGGTACTACTGTGTGTCAGTCAGTACCAACCTGATAGGTTCAGGTGTCTGTATGGTTAGCCAGAACTGATTGGTTCAGGGTCTGTGCTTCAAGTTAAGTGTTCTGTGTGAACCAAACTGTGTGTATGTATGAGTGAAACTAAAGGAGAGCCGGAGGAGAGCTGAGAGAAGAAGCTTGAGTGGGAGTCTGTGTGTCAGACAGGGTACTACTGTGTGTCAGTCAGTACCAACCTGATAGGTTCAGGTGTCTGTATGGTTAGCCAGAACTGATTGGTTCAGGGTCTGTGCTTCAAGTTAAGTGTTCTGTGTGAACCAAACTGTGTGTATGTATGAGTGAAACTAAGCCACGTTACTATATCTTATTCACCTGATCATTTTATTTTCCCTGTGTGTTGTTTTAAATAAACCTTATTCTTTTATTTGTTGAAAATCCATCCCTGGTCTGTGTGACTTCTTATAGGGAATGGTTGGTGGCAGCTTAGTTAACGTGTGGCAGATCCCAGTAGGTCTGGGTTTGTCACAGTCACCTAGTCCTTACTCCCAGTCAGTCTCAACTACAATTTTCATTACTAATACTTTTTTTCATTTTCTTTGGGCTTCATTTCCAAAGGGACTAATTACACAGGAGACTTGGTCAAATTCTGCTGGTTACTTGGGAGGGCAAGGCTCAGCTTCCCCCCAGCTTTATTCCTGTTCTCACTTGATGCAGGGTCCATGGCCCTTGTAGATCAAGCCTGGATGAATGAGCATTGGCTTGGGAAACAAAACTTGTAAGATGATTTTCCTCCCTCCCTCGCTGTGGAGCAACAGTGGGATTCTCCTCTTTGCAGCCTTAACATGCTGTCATTTCTTTCATCCACAACTGGATTAATCTCCCAGCATCCCCATTAGGCCAGGCTCCAGAGTCATGCTTTTGTGATGCACAAATCCCACTTCAGAGTTGCATCGATGCGCTTTTCAGCTTCTGAAATACCGTGGCAAAAAGAAGCAAGAAGAATGAGAGGATGCAGGAACAGCAACAAGTATGAGGAAGAAGGAGAGAGGGAGAAGCTCTTAGCTCCGGGTAAATGCTTCACAGGCAGAAGAGTTCTAGCATACGGCTCCTTTGATTAAGTAATCTCAGGCAATGGGGCCCAGGGCTCTGCGGCATAGTGGTTAGAGTGTTGGCCTGGGTCTTTGGAAATCACAGGTTCTAATCTGCACAGAGTCATGAAACTCAGTGGGTGACTTTGGATATCCATCTGACCTATTTCATGGAGTTATTGTGAGGGTAAAGGGCAGAGGGGGAAGAGCTGTATTAGAGCTCACAGGTGGAAAGATGCGACAAGAACGTACCAAAGAAAATTCAAACATTTAAGCAGCTGTTTTCAGAGGATAACACTGGGCTACAAGGACCTGGAATCTGCTAAGCAAAGGAAGAGCCATATGTTCAGCAGAGAGAAGGTCAGGAAAAGAGGAAGAGGAGAAGATTCTAGCTTTGTATTGCTGAGAGACGTAGGCAGATGTCAACAAGATAAAAACTAGGTACTGTAGCTCTACAGCTCTCTTTCCGGTTTTGTTAAATTACCATAAATATCATGTGTAGATCATATAAAGCCATGGATTGTTTTGAAAGAAATAGGTGTGCCTCAGCACTTGATTGCATAATCAGCATTGAGAAGAAGATGCTACTGTTAGTATAGAATATGGAGAGATGGAATGGTTTCCTATAGGCAAAGGTGTAAACAAATATGCATTTCATCACCTCATCTGTTCAATCTCTATCAAGTGGAAAGCCAGACTAGATTCAGATGAAGGAAGAGTGAAAATTGGTGGAAGAAATATCAATAATTAAATATATGCAGACAACATAAAGCAGCAAAGACTTGAAACAACTTTTCGTCAAAGAGAAAGAGGAAAGTGCCAAAGCATGACTACAGTTGAACATTAAGACAAAATGACTGCAGAATGACTACACAACTTTAGAATTGGCAATGAATGGAAATACCTAGAGATTTCATATATTATGATTTAATCATCAGTCCAAATAGAGACTTCAGCCAAGAAATCAGAAGAAGACTGATACTCAGAAGCGAAGCAAAGAAGGAATTAGAAAATATCAAGTGTAAGAATATGTAACTGGAGATTAAGACCAAGGTTATCTACATTCTTTGTGTAACTGAGATTAAGACCAAGGTTATCTACATTCTTGTATTCCAGATCACTGTGTATGGGTGTGAAAGCTGGACAGTAAAGAAAGCTGACAGGGAAAAAAATGATTCGTTTGAAATATGGTGCTTTGTAGATACCCTGAACAGCCAGAAAGGCAAACAAGTGGGTCCTAGATCAAATCAAGCCTGAACTATCTCTGGAAGCAAAAATGTTGAAACTGAGGCTGTCCTCCTTTGAACATATCATGAGAAGGAAGGATTCTCTGGAAAAGACAATAATGCTGGGAAAAGGAAGGTGGAAGGCAGCAGAAAAAGAGGAAGAGCCAATATGATGCTCCCTAAGTAGGCCACAGGCTTGAATTTACAAGAGCTGAGCAGGGCTGCTAAAGCAAAGCAAAAAAAGCGAAGTATGCTCCTTATATACCGCCCCATAGCGCTTCAAGCACTCTCTGGGCGGTTTACAAGTTAATGATGCAGGCTACACATTGCCCCCCCCCCAGCAAGCTGGGTACTCATTTTACTGACCTCAGAAGGATAGAAGGCTGAGTCAACCTTGAGCCGCTACCTGGGATTGAACCCCAGGTTGTGAGCACAGTTTTGGCTGCAGTACAGCAGTTTAACCACTGCGCCAGGAGACAGAGCATTTTGGAGATCATTCGTTCATAAGATTGTCATACGTTAGAGACCACTTGATGGCACATCATGTATGGTATAGCTTTAAAACATTTGTTTTAAAGATTGGAAAGGGCAACATACAAGCCCCCAACAAGCTCATCAGCCTTTCAGATTTGGGACCACTAAAGAACCATCTTTCCTGAGCTTGTCTAGGTTGGTAAAAATGACACAGGGGACAAACAGAAGCCCATTCCAGCTATTTCAGCAAATGGATTCACAAAGACCTACAACACGTTACCTACCAGATGCAAATCCAAGGATCACCACGGCCATTAACCAACAGAAACGTAGTAGGTCTCCAAAGATCATCTGTACATGTAAACACACACATAAAAATACACTGTCAAGATAAGGAGCTATTCATTCCCATTAACCTTGCCTTATGAGACATCAGACTACAGGCCTCCTGAATCAGACCATGTATGCCAACCTTATTCCAACTTTAGTAGTTGTTTGTTCAGAGACCGCCTTCAGCAGCTGAAGCCCTTGCAGACTGCCTCTCTGTCATCTGAAGTTGAATGGGTCGAGTTTTCTTAACTCCTGCCCTTAAGCTGTGGAGTGCCCTCCCAGGAGAGATCCAGCCTCCAATTTTTGCTGCTTGTGTTTTATCAAACGTGACTCTAAGAAAGCTTTTAAACTTGACAAATCAATTTCTCCCCCCCCCCACATTCACAAGCTGCCTACCGTAGCTCTAGCTGTTTTGTTAGCAGTGTTAGCTTGTTCTCCTGTTTTTATTGACAGTTCTTAAATAACACCCTTAGCAGTTTTGAGATTTATCTGACAGGAAGTCACAATGTTAAAAAGTGTGAATAAATTTACTTCAATTTGGGGTGAACCTTATTCAAATAGAAAGGGAACGTCTTCTCCGGTTCTTCTACAGTTTGATGTTGGCAGCCGCTTCAGCTTTCTCACTTAATTCTGTTGGCCCTTAAATTTTATCCATGAATCTGTGAAGCTATTTTGCAGTCCTATTTAAGGGCCCCACTAAAGAAGATGCTGAGCCTGTGTTTGGAAGCAGTGCATCCTTATGAAGGAAAGGCTGTTTACAGCAGCATGTCCTTGGCCCAATCCACATTTCCCACATTCTGTTTTGAAATTGGTTAATTGGGAGATAGCAAATGGGCTCGGATTGAATCTCTCAGATATGTAGCCCTGAAAGATCTGCTTATCTGGAGGGACAATGTTGTAAGAATAGGGTATATAGATTTGCACGTGTGTAGGATTTGACCTGATCTGAGCCTAAGTCCTGCCCATCACCAGATCTCCTGGGAGCAAACTGGAGTGAATTGGGGACTTCTGGGAAGGAAAAATCCTTTTATCTCTCATGAATCTACTGCCAACCAGTGAAGACGAAAGAGAGGCAAGCTGCCTAGTGCTCGCCAGGACCATGAAAGGAACACAGAAAGCATTCTCCTCAAACATTTGAAACCTCTGAAGGGAATCTAGGAGTGTTCAAAAGGTTGCTTAAGAGCGACTGCTTCTGTCAACCAAGAGCTAATCCAGTGCCAACCCCCGGAGGGAAAACACCTTTGGAAACAGAGTCAAGGTATCAGGCAGTGGAAGGCTTCCACAAAGATGGGAGGACAGCGAGGCGCCTTCAGTGCTTTACCCCTGCCGTGCTTCCTTCCAGGGAGGTGCCAATGTATCAGCCTCAATCTACGGAGATCTGTTCTTTCCCAGTCACTAAAACTCATTCCGACTTGCGACTCTGTCAGTTTGCAAGACCCAACCCCCTCCCCAGAAAAACATCTGTCTGCGTCCATATGCATTTTTCAAACTCTACCCATTTCTGTGTGCATCGTTCAAGTGTGTGCCCCTTCGCTATGCACTCTCCCATTAACTACAGTGTGTCTGTTTCTCCAATGTCTAACTTTCTTATCCCCATTTTTCAAATACTTTTTCTTTCGCATCGCAAGATCCATAACGTATGAATTTCACACCACAAATTGCATTCCAATACAGGTCCAAAGCCTGGGAAGTGCCATCCACACAAAAATTTCTAAGGAGTTTCTTGCCCATCCCTGTGGATTGTCTTTGTAGTGATGCACCACTGTCTTTTCCCAGCAAGGACCTTGGAGCTGAAGGACTACCACCACCACCCATAGTTCCTGCTGAAAAAAAAGGTACTGTCAACACCACTGCATTGTCAAGATGTTTATTTTGTCAGCTGTGGTGACAGGAGGAACCTCCTCTTCAAGGGAACTAGTCCTGGAGTAGCAGACGGTGGTCACTTCTATTCTGCTGGGAAAAAATTGAAGGGGAACCTTCTTCAGGGGGTGCATGGCCCCCCAAAATGTTTAATGGGTACAGGACATGCCCAGAAGCAGCAAGGCTATCATATTGAGAGTAGGCAAATCTCACAATATCCACAAAACTGCATCCCTCCATTATAATTCTGCCCCTCCATGAATTTCCAGCCACAGATACAGTGGGGTCTTGACTTAAGAACGGCTTGAGTTAAGAACGGAAAAAATTGAAGGGGAACCTTCTTCAGGGGGTGCATGGCCCCCCAAAATGTTTAATGGGTACAGGACATGCCCAGAAGCAGCAAGGCTATCATATTGAGAGTAGGCAAACTTCCCATTAGTTTCTATGGACGAAAAAGAGCAGATACGGATCAAATGGTTTTCAATGCATTCCTATGGGAAATGCAGATTTGACCTGCGAACTTTTTGACTTGAGAACCGCCTTCCAATACGGATTAAGTTCTCAAGTCAAGACCCCACTGTAGAATGTCCTGGTCAGGAATATCATGTGACTTACAGAATGGTGACAACCGAATGTACAAATTACCCAACAGATTAAGTTTACTACATGTGCGCTACAGCTGTTGCTCAGTATTATGGCACCACTTGTGTTTTTGAATGGAGAATGTGATGTTCAATGAAACAAACCACAAATAATAATAAAATAAACATTCACAGCTGCACTGAACAAAACACCGACACATCTGTCTATGGAAATAAAAGGGCAGCTTTCACACAGCCCTAGTTCAAAGCTTCCTGGAATGTGACGCGGAGTCAATGTATCTAGCCAAGATGTGTCGACCACCTCTTTTCTCACTTTCTCCATGGACTGCTGCTTATCACTCTAGTTACCTTTTGAATCATGATGGTGAAGGGGCCCAGCATCTGAAATCCCCGTGCAAAATACATGACATTGCACCAGCCGAGGACCAGAGCAAAGGACATGGGGACGACCTCTCCTTGAGTGCTCATGAGACGCATGACCATGGTCACCAGGATCATGCAGGCATATGTGATGCTGCAGAGACAGAAGCAGAAAGTGAATGACCGCTCAAAGCTGGGCCTTCCAGAGTCATAAATGGTTATGGCTGGATCAGGTGCCCACAGCCTGAGCCCACTAGAAGGGAACCTTACATGATGACATGGAAAGGTCCTCCAAGAATCGTCTGCCCAAAGTACTTGGTGATCCCAACTCGGACAATATCTGGAATCTGAGAGAGAGATCCATTGATCAAATGTGTGTTCCTTTACAAAACAATTGCTTTAAATATTTATCTATCCAGCTATCAGTCTACCTAAAAACACATATTGTCCAGAAACCTGTTGGCACTCACATAAGGTTTGGAATCACTTGCTGTGGCTAAGCAACAGTGTGCTGGGGCACATCTCCGTTGTGCTATTACAGGTGCACAACTAAGAGACATCCCAGTATCTCATCAATTAGGTGGGACCAGGTATGGAAGTTTTATATAAACAGCATAGAATTTCAGTTAGAGTGCAGAAAAATGGGAATAAAAATTAAAACCATGGATGATGTGTCTCACTTACCACCCTCATCAAAAATGGGACAACCAAGTCAAAAGAGACGACCGTCAGATTAAGTCTGAATCTGGAACTGAGCCTTTTGGCAAAATGGTTAAACTGCAGTACTGCAGCCAAAACTCTGCTCACAACCTGGGTTCAATCTCAGGTAGCCAGCTGAAGGTTCACTCAGCCTTTCATCCTTCCAAGGCCAGTAAACTGAGTACCCAAGGGCTAGAGGGCTACGTGTAGCCTGCATAATTAACTTGTAAACTGCCCAGAGAGTGCTTTAGGCACTATGGGGTAATATATAAGCAGCATCCTTTGCTTTTTTTGCTTTGGAATTCCTCAGTTAAGCACTGACACACTATTGGAGGAGATCTGCTCAGGAAGCCAGTTCTTTAGGATTTTGTAGACACTAATTTCAATGTCTAACACAGGGTGACTGCAGGCATTCACATTCTGATGACAGTACACACCATTTCTCCCAATTTGGGGGTATTTACAGCACTTGGCCAGGACTATCAATATTCACAGGGTGAAATGTCTGTCACCATTCAAGAGATTTCACACATTAATTTAAATACTCATGTAGGCTAATGTAGCATTTCAGTGTTCTTTTTTGAGGAATTATATTACAACATACATGTTGGAAAGGACAGCTTACTATTCATTTCAAAAGAGAGGAGTTCTAATAAAGAGAAAGCTCGTTTGCCTGAAGTCTCATTGACATTAATGAAACATAAAATATTCAGAACGAACACTGATTCAAAAGGGTTTAGCATTCAAGCACTATTAACTTGGGCTAGATTGGGACACATGTGTCAGTTAGAATGTGTTGGGTAAACCTTCAATTCCAGTCCAATAAAAAAAGTGATGTGTAATAAAGCAAATTAGTTCCATTCCACTCCTCTCTTCAGTCTTTCAAGATGGCCAAGTTGATTATTCTCTGCATTTCCTAAATTTGTTCTAACCACTCATCAATCTAAGGCACTTCCTCCTTTGCAAACTAATTCCCTTTTAGCTGTAGGTTCACGCATAATGCCTGCTGTTTCTTTCTTACTATATTTCTTTGAAATCCCAGTAATGAGATCAGAGACTTTACAAGCAACATATACGGAACAAACAATGCTGTTGATTTATTTCCTGGATTTGGAAAGTTTGCGCTCATTCATTTCACATAAAGAGGAGGGAGGGAAAGGGATCTCTCTTACCTCCAGGATCAATATCACTATGGCTCCGATAACGGTGATGAGCTCACCAACCAGTCTCAGATCATCTTCAGGTGTTAGATAAGCCTCCTGAGAAGACAACATGGTCCACAGTGTTAAGAACCTCACATAGCCAAGAGGTAAACCATAAATGGGCCAAACCTATTGTCTTTTGAAGTTCAAATCAGTTATGAAATATAGAGCCCGTGCTTTAGCAAACTTCCACCACTATGTTCTGGTACAGCAAGGAATTTTCTCTTAAATATACAATCTGTGCACCAAGCCAAGTCTTTCAGTGTGCCTCTATCAGTAGCTGCTCATCCAAGTGGATCCCTCTTTTCCTTGGAGACCCTTCAGAGCCTGAGCATCTTCCACAAGCAATGAAGGAGGTATGCACCCGAATTTGTTTTCTCCAGAAAGGTAAAGGCTATGCTAAAAAGCAGCTTGGTACTTACTTCAAAGCACTGAGCCCAACATAAAAAAAAATAAAAATAAAACATTGTAAATACAAACTGATTTTTTTTCCTAACTCAGATTTATGGATTGAAAGCAAGAAAAAAATATGCAGAAGGACAGGGAATTCAAAAGTTTGGCTTCTATAGCTAGCCTTGCCTCTGAACTGCTGTACTAGCATTAGTCCTAATAATATAAGAACTAGGATTGAAATGATTTCCAATTGTGTCTGAAAATGGGATCTAATGGCCACCTCATCAATTTTCAGAAATAATCCAACTAAAAGCTACATCAAACATTTAGCCACCTAAATACGGTCTAATTAAGAAAACTCTCTGTTGCATTCCATACCCAATACATGAAGTTCTAGTGCACTTGACAAACTCAGTACAGGAGTATCTTGTGAGGGAAGTGGCTGTATCACAACAAAGCAAAACTTTCCCGCTCTGAGTGTGGCTACAAAAGGGGGAAGATGGAGGCCCTGTCCTATGAAATAAAGACCTAAAGCAAGAATCCCTGGAGAAACAGACTGTTTCACTCCTTCACAATAAACTGCACCGTCGGAAAGTATCCTTCTCCACAAAATTTAAAGATGTGGCCGAGCCCGTGGCACTCATGCGTGGACACGCAGCGGCACAGGGACTTTCTTTTCTCTCAGAAGGAAAGGGGAACAAAATGTCCCCTAAGTCGAAAAGCTGCTTCAACAAGTTATGCTTCAGAGAGTTGCACGCCTGCGGTGTGTGGCTTATGTTTCGAATGCCCCAGTACAGAACGGGAAACAGGCACGCCGTCCACAGAGAGAGCCTGCCTCGCAAAAAAGTTGAAGGCAGCAATCAGCGGATTAAGGACTTTGGGCTTGGCAGAAGCGCAGCGGCTGCCATGAGCCCAGAGGGACCATTACCCCTGCGCCCATAAAAATAAAAGCACAGTGCATGTCCCGACTGGTTCCTGAGCCAGTCACTGATAATTTTACCCTTGATCAAATGCAGACAAGCTGTAATTGATAACTGATTTTAAGAAGGGGCATGCAAACCTGCCAGAGCATGGAAGCTGTAAGATTTGAAGGACATTACAACAAAGCCTGCAGAGTGGAACACTGATGTATAAGGGGGTTATGGGGTGTGTGCTATAGTCTTTCACTTCACGGTTTGGAGAAGCATCTACTTTTGTCTATTGTCTACTGAGTGACATTTGCACACATACGGTTTATGCTGTAAAAATAATATAGGAGGTACCCACACAAGGCATGCATGAGATCATGGATCGGTTTACTCTTCAAAAAGAAGGGGGGCAGAATCTTGTTCCCAAAGAAGAAAGGGGAATAAAAACAGGAGGAACAAAGGGGTAGACTAAGGAAAGGCGGGAAGAAAACGAGCACTTAATGCCACCAGTGCAATCTCAGGACTCTTAAACGGTCAGGATGGAATTCTCGTCCACCACGACAGCAGAATGGATCTGCCCAGTGCCATCATCAGAGGCTTGTCCTAAGCCCATTTCCAGCAAAGACAGTAGGACGAGCCACCCGCTTTGCAGAGGCTAGCTGTCAATCAGGTTTGTTATTGTTTTATAGTCCATGCTGCAGACTGCACCAGACAGGTCACTGAAACACATTGTGTTCTGGTCAATGAAAGTGAGTTGTATATTTACCCTTTTGTTGTCTGGATTTCTGTTCCTAATATATTAATTAATTATAACTACACACCCTCAAGTCAGTTCTGAATTACAGTAACCCTTTGCAAGGTTTTCTAGGTGGCGAGTACTCAGGAGTGGTTTACCCTTCCCTTCTTCTGCAGGTATTCTGAGATTGTGCAGCTTGCCCAAGGCCACACAGGCTGGCTTTGCTCCCAGGAGGCATACTGAGGAATTAAACTCCTGACCTCTGATTCCTCACCAAGGTACCTAACTCACTAAACCATTGAGCCAACATCTAGTATGCTACCCCCTGCCAAATCCTTGCCCTGACCAGACATGATGACAAGGTGTTCTCTATTGCTATTCCCTGCCATTAGCATTCCTGCAACAAAATCAAGGGGTATTATACTGGACCAGCTGAGTTGAAGAGGCTAGGTTCCAGAGAAAGACACAGCCAGCTAAATATTGTGTGCCTAATCCGGTGCTTCTTAATCGTATTTGCATGCTTTCGAACCGCTAGGTTGGCGGGAGCTGGGACAAGTGACGGGTGCTCACTCCCTCGCGTGGATTCGATCTTACGACTGCTTGGTCTTCTGACCCTGCAGCACAGGCTTCTGCGGTTTAGCCTGCAGCGCCACCATGTCCCATTTTTTTGTGTCTTGTAGCCCTTGTTAAATGATTTCTTCCCCTGACCTTTTGAAGCAGAATACTAAAGTTAGTGTGCATTTGTATGCATGAAAAACAGGTCCTTTGGAGGTGAAAGAAGCCTCGACATTCTGAGAATGGATGACTCTACCCCCATTAAAAATGTATTTTTATGCAAACATGGGGGGTGTGTCACAGGTTACTCGGCTATTCTAAAAAGGAGTCATGACTCAAAAAAGGTTGGGAACTGCTGGTCTAATCTATAATCAACCCTGATCACAACTGTCTTCAGATTAGTTGTATCACCTCCCACTAGGTCAAAACTCTGGCACTTCTCCTGACACCAAGGACCTGGGTGTGTGTGTGCGCACCCCCTATTGAATTTGTCAGACGAATCCCTCCCTTCCATTCCCATCAGGTAGTTTGTGTCTCTTCAGACCTGCACCTCCTTCAAAACATCTTACAGGGTTACATCTTGTCTTCCTCACTTGGGTGGGAGAGAAATTGTGCCTTGCCTCACATTCCACCAAAAGCAGCAGCAGGAGCTGGCTCGCCCCTCTCACATGCCTACTTGCCTGCCTGATTAAGACGGCCTGAGAGCTGCTTGGCTTTCTACACCCCAGTCTTTGCCTCTGCACACACACACATGCATGCCCAGGATGTCAGCTGAAATCCAGAAAAGGAGCCAATCTACAACTTGCTCGTTGATCTGCTTGGAAACCTGTTCTTCTCACCTCCCGCCCCCCCCATCCCACGTCCATTTTAAAAATCAGTGTCCTGAGAGAGAGTCCAGAAAAGGAGGAGGAGACAGGGTAAAAGCATGGGGTGGGGAGTAGAAAGACAAGGGAATTGCCACTGCCTCCACATTTCACAAGAAAGAGAGGGTTCTGGATGGCAGCTTCTCTCTTCCCTCCTCCTGGATCTCTGCTCCTTGACCCAGCAGCTACAGTTGTCATCACCTAGAGCAAGTGAATGTATGTGTGTGTGCACCCAGGAAGGAAGGAGTACAGATATGTGTGTGTGTGTGTGTGTGTTCTGCACTTCTGAATTTGTGACTCCACAACTGCCTATGGAAGACACACCCTAGCTGGCTGTTGTGCCTTGTCTACCTCGCACTCATCATGCTCACGATGAAAAAAGAGAGAGAGAGAGAGCTAAGAATTGTTCATCCTTCCAAGTCTAACCAAGAAAGATTATCCTTCCTTATTCTACTGCAGCTTTCTGCTACGGCTCTAGTTCACCCTAAGCCCCCCCCCTTCATTATCTATCCTATGCACACTCATGGGAGTAAATCCTGCTGAGCACAGTAGGGCTCCCTTCTGGGTAATCATGTGTTGGATTGCCCTGAAAAATGCGACCCTGTGCTGTGATGTTCCTTCCCTACAATTAGACTTAACTGTGCATTACCACCGCTCTGCCCCTGTCACATGAGAATGGCTCAGAAATCCATACCGAGGACTTCTGACTGCATCAGTGAATACTCGGGAGAGACGGGCTCCTAAAAACAAAAACGGCAGATCATTTGTACATCCTTCGTAAGCTCAGCCGAATAGGGAATTCACCTGCAGCTGCTTCTGAATGTAGATCGTGTTGTCCCTTTCGTGGGTTTTATTCCAGCTCCGTTGTTTCAGAGGGCGATAGACGCAGCACATGGTGAAGCAAATCATGTAGAGAACGTAGAAGAAGGCCAGGACACAGAAATACGGCCGCCCATATTTATTCCACTTCAGGCTTACTAGCTCATTCACAGGCGTGAGGTCTAGGATCCGCCGCGCCTGAAACATGTAAAATGACCTTTGCTGCGCATTCTCTCCAAGGAAGAAATTAAAAAAAAAACACACACCAAGAAACAAATAAACCTTAAGGGAGCATTCTCTCCAAGGAAGAAATGTAAAAAAAACACACCAAGAAACAAATAAACCTTAAGGGTAGGAAAAAGGATTTAAAATGGGTCATACACTCAAAAACGATTCCAATAAGAGGATTTAAATTGGGTCATACACTCAAAAACGATTCCAATATTGTTCTGGAATTTATTTATTTTTAAATCTGCTTTACATTTCAGGTGTACGGTAACAAGTGATAACATCACACTGTTTGTAACGTAACTGTCACTAGTGTTAAGTTACTTTTCTGGCAATAGGGTGTGAGCGACCACAGTATTTAGGTGTGTTTTATACTATAGGCCAGGTTTTTGTAACACTCTGGCATACAAATTTTAAAAGCAGCTGGAAGTAATTAACAGTGGTGCCTCGCTAGACGATGATAATCCGTTCCACTGAAATTGCTGTTTAGCGATATCATTGTCTAGCGAAAAGCATTTCCCCATGAGAATGCATTGAAATCTGTTTAATGCGTTCCAATTGGGAAGAATCATCATTGTCTAGCGAAGATCGGCCATAGGAAAGCCGCTTTGCAAACTGCCAATCACCTGTTTAAATCGCTGTCTTGCGAAGCTTAGGTCCTGAAAAGATCTGTTTTGTGAGCGCGGAGGGAGCTGTCAAAATCATTGTCTAGCGAAAATTGGTTTGCGAAGCAGGGACCAAACATTGTCCAGCGAAATTCCCCCATAGGAATCACTGTTTTGCAAATCGCTATAGCGATCGCAAAAAGTCAATGTCTAGCGAAAAAACTGTCATGCAGGGTAACTGTCTAGCGAGGCACCACTGTAATTAAAAAAAAAGAGTATGTTTGAATAATGAGCAATTAAAGACTTCCTTAAATAAACTGCAAGTGTGATAGCAGTGTACTATTTTTTTTAAACCCCTCTGAACAGGGATTGTAACTAATTACATTTCCAAATTAACTTTCCTCGCTCTGCTTGGTGTTATTTATGAGCGAGGGGAGGGTGTTTGGTAGCAACTAACTACCTTTTTTGTTTAAAAACAGGTTGGACAATGCTAACAGAAGTACTACATTAGCTCTAAGAAACATGGGATTGTGGGACAGAGCAGATGAGGGTTACTAGGTAAGGCACTCTAAAGTTGGGTCAGCAGTAGGACTGGTTCTGACAGAGGTTGCTAATGAAGCAAGTAACATGGCCCCATACAACCACGACGCATGTCTGCAGGCTGATTTGGGCCTACTTGTAGCAGGATGCTCTAGCAGTCTCCCCTTCCCCCCCATCCCCGACAGATACCTCTCTGTTTTTGGTGGTGACAATGAGTTCCAGGAGAGACTGATCATCGCCCCATGAGTCAATTTCTGTAAGATCGTACAAGGTGGACGTCACAGGCCCAAAAGTCCACTGGATGTGCTTTCTTCTTTGCATTAAGTGCTGAAACATCTGGTTGTGGGAAAGCAAAAAAATCTCAGTTACTATAGCCCCTGATAGGATTGATGCAGGTGCCCCCATGACTCTGTTCTGGTGCAATCTCTCTCATTCTCTCTCTCTTTCTTTAAGGCCAGGTTTAGAAACACACAGAACCACAGGAAAAAAAAAAGAAACATTTTAATGAATTCTACAGTTAACACCAATTTGCTGTTTCTCGCCATCAAGTCAGAACTGACTTATAGAAACCCTAACAGGCTTTTCAACCTTCCATGACTGAGTGGGGATTTGAACCCAGGCCTCCTGAGTCCTAATCCATTACTCTATCTATGACACCACGCTGGGTATCCACAATGAACATCAATATGCAAATTATTTGTGCAGTAAGATTGTAAATCTGACAGCATCTCAATCTTCTTGTTTTTGAACTAAGGTCACTACCTCCAATTTTTTTCCCAGGGCTTAGTTCTATTGTAACACCATATAAAGGGAAATCATCATGGCTTTACAGTACTTCCCAGAGCTCAATTCTACTGTAATACCATATAAAGGAATTTCTCCTTCCTTCTTTCATATGGAGAGACATTTGCCTGGGGACCATTTCCTGAATGCAGCCAAAATGTTATTCTGGTAATGCAGTCCCTGCAAGGAAGTCAAATTACACACCCGTGCAGTCATTCTGATAATTCTGTTTCATCTACCTATTAATTAAAATATCTACCAATCACTATTAGGCTGTCAAAACAGCATGCAAACAAAATACTACAATAGTTTAGATCATTACAAAGATTAAAGGAGAAAGCACTTTTTAAAAAGCCTGTTCTGAAGCATTAAAAGCAAAACAAGACAATAATTCCACTGGAGGCAGAATAATGATGTTGCTCTATCCTCCTCGTTAACACTGGTTTGATTGTGTGTGAATAAGATGGGCTCTTTTTCTTCTTGTATGACCCATTAGGGAGGCCAGGAGGCACCCTGGCAGTCTTCCCTAGAGGTCCCAAGGGATGCTCATGATGATCCAGGCTAAGGGCAAAGAGCTTTGTAAGAGCAGGAAGCTCTTGCATGTGTTGAAGTGGGAGTTTTCAAAGAACATTATGTAAGGTAGTTATGGCTAGAGGGGCAAAGTGAACGAATGCTATCTGCCAATCTCAGCAGAAGATAAACACACGCATGGGTAGGCAGGTCCAAAGTGTGAAAGACCTCCATTGCTCATAGAATGTAAATTGCTTAATAAGACCGATTTTGTCTTAATGTCTGAATTATCTATAAGTTTGTCTATCTAATATCCTGACTTTCTCCCAGTGCAATAAAACTGAAGAAGAATAGCATGTGCCTGCAGATGTCCTGGCCTCCTCCAGATCAAGTCTGGTCCAAACTCAGGCCTAGGTTCCAGGCTGGGGGAAGGCGGCCTCACCCTTTCCTAATGTTTATAAATGCACCTAGTCCACTTTGTACTCTTGTCATTGCTCTCGAGCACGGTAGGAAGTCAGTAGCCCCTGAATGGACAGCACCTCTGCTTCTAGGTGTCAGAGGCATTCAAGGTGCCTCTGCCTTCTCCACCGCCATAGCTACACTGGAGTAGGGATTTTCGGCCCCTCTGTGGTGCTGTGGCATCTCTTGGTCAGCCAAAGTACAAGGCTTGAAGATCCTCTTTCGGTGACTCCAGTTGGGGCCACTCCGCCCTTCCACTCCTTCCTCCTCTTCCTCAGCCTCTGCCACCAAGTACCCTCCCCTCCCATCTCCTGCTTCCCCATCTGCTCATCCTCCCTACTCTCTATTTTCATTGGCCCTCTCCTGCCTTCCAGACTCTCCCAAGTCCTGCCTCCCACCCTCTCCTCAGCATCTTGAGCCTTGATGCTTCTTACAAATTCCTATTAATCTGGACTCTCAGGGCAGGCTTAGCCTGGTGACCTCTGCTTCTCCACCTCCATGGGCAATCCTGGCAGGAAGGGGTTGGGACCGCCATCGGCCATGTCACAATCTGCCATGGGTTAGGTGGCCCCACGGGACACACCCGAGGGCTGACCAGTATGGGAGGCATGGTAGTTGGCCCAATATTGGGCCTCTCCAGGGCTCCTCTACAGCTTTCCTTGGCTCAGTCAGGCACTTGCCCAATTTCACAACTAGTATAAGAGGGGGCATGTGGCAGAAAGCCTGCCCGAGCAGGACAAACACTTACATGATTGCCTTTACACAGCTGTATAAGTAAATAGGATTCTGAACCAAGCAGCTAGTTTTCATTAAGGATGGGATTTTTTGATTTTCTGGACTACAGATACTATAATTCTCCATCCTGGCAGTTCTACTTACTTTACTGGACACCTTATAAAAACCTAGATACGATGCACCTGGAAGAAAGGCCTCCATTGAAAGGCTTTGACACTTCGCTAGGCCGAGCTTGGCCCCAGCTTCCTGGTGGGAAAGGGTTCGTAAAATAGGCAGAACTGAATGATGGAGAATTATGGTATTCGTAGTTAAGAAAATCTAAAAATCCCATCCCTGGTTATCCTGGTCACGTTAATGATGATAATAATGGATATCCCTTTTTTAAAAAAAACTACCATGAGCCTTTGACGTCACTTCAGCAAAGTGGGCTATCAATACATGAAAGAAACCAGTGGCTGCAACCGTAACAAAATGTGACGGCGTGCTGGTTTACTCACCATGGTGTTGCCCTCAATCCCAGCCAATTTAAATGGAGTGAGTCCCTCATGGTTGGGGATGGAGTCTATGTCTCGCTGCTTCTTGTCTTGTTTGTTGTAGGAGAGGAACAGGTGGTACATTTGACATGCAGCTGCTTTATTTGGCTGGAGGACTAAGTTATGGAGGACGGTGTTGCCTGCCGGAGCACAAAACACAACAACTGAACAAGGGTAGTTCTTGGGGGCTGAGGAGAGTCCCAGAGGCTATAAGTGGTCCCTGCTCATCCTCATTTGCATCCTTTGCGGCTTTGCAGGAAAAAGAGCCCAACATGAAAAGCAGGTCCTAGTACAGTGGTGCCCCGCATAGCGAGGTTAATCCGTTCCGGATTAACCGTCACTATGGGGAAACATTGCTATATGGAACGGAAAATGCCATAGGAACGCATTAAACTTTGTTTAATGCGTTCCTATGGCTTCTAAACTCACCGTTAAGCGAAGTTTCCCCATCCAGCCGCCATTTTCGCGCCCTTGGTAAGTGAGGGCAGGGCGCGAAAACGCTGCGCGCTGCCATTTTGGGCGTCCGGCAGCCTTTTCGGAACCGCCGAACAGCTGATTTTTAAAAATCGCTATGCGAAAATCGGTAAGCGAAAAGCTTACCGATCGTCATAAAGCGATTTTTGCCCTATTAAATCATCACAATGCGATCGCATTAGCGATCCCAAAAAATGGATCGCTATGCGAATTCGTTGTTAAACGGTGTGCTCGTTATGCGAGGCACCACTGTATTTTCATCTCTCTGAGGAGGAGGAGGAGGTGGAAGGGGAAGGCAGAAGGGGGACGAAGGGAGAGATGGTTGTTCATTGGCATGCCTCTATTTCTTTTTTTAAATTTTTAAATTTTTAAAAACTAGGGATAAGGTAAGGAGTACAAAATATAGAGGGGGATATGGGGGGAAGAAGGGGGAGGAGAACACAAAATGTATTGTCATCCAATCTGTTTATTCACGTTGCGATAACAATTCTACTTTTTGTCTTTCTACAATTTGATTGCTCTCCAGGTTTCAACTTACAGTTACATCTTAGTTTAATTCTATGTTATTCAAACACTATCTAGTGACTCAAGCCATTTATATGATAAATCCCATTGTTCAGTTGCCTTTTGTATTGGACAGTCTTTCAACACTTCTGATAGAATATCCATTTCTGCCACTTCCCAT